CCTACTTTCTTGCACGAAAACAGACAGCTGGAGTGAAGTGGGGGCTTCTCCTCTTAGATGGGGCCTGCTCACCACAGTTCACCACAGTCCTCTACCCCGTATTCTGCCCAACACTGTGACAAGTAAAGCATTGCCACTAATCTAAGCATTTTCTGTTAGACTCTTATAGCTAAGAGGAAAGTGAAATATTTCTTTTAATCATTCATTGAATCCCTTAAAAATGAAAAAATAAAAAAATCAATAGGCCCACATGTTTCTTTAAAAAAATGGGAGGAAATACATTTTTCTTTGAAGAAATGAAGAATTTTCCTATGTGTTTTCTTACCCTGGACCAGTTTCACTCAAACGCTGGGAAACATTTAAGTGTGCGACGTCTTGCCTGAGCTATTTGCAGATTGGTATAACCACAGCTGCAAATGTGATTATGTCACTTTCCCGCTTACGTAGCAAAACCCCTCAGTAGCTCTCCATTTTCTCAACTTAAAAATCCAAACATGTTTAACATGACCTAAAGCCCCTCCCAGCTTCGTTTGTTCCTCCTCTCCCTTGCTGTCATTTAATCCACTTGCGAAAGTTTTAGTTTCAACTATTCACCAGTTCTCTTGTTCCTTCTTGCATGTCTAGGAAAACCTCTTCCTTCTTCCCATCTTTCAAGTCCCAGCTAAGACATTACCTCCTGTGAGAAGTCATCATTCCCTGAACCTCGCTTCCCTACCTCCAAATCCGGGGTAGGTCTCTCCTGTGAGTTGTCAAAACTTACACAGTCCCACTGCGTTATAATTGCCCTTTTACCTCTTTGTGTGCCCCACCAGACTGTAAGCTGGATGTCAGAGACCTGGATTTATTCACCTTTCTAGCTCCAGGGCCTGGTACATAGTAGGAGCTTAATACATGTGGAATTGCCAAACAAATGAACAAAGAAAGGGAATTTCAGGCAAAAGGAACAGCATGAGCGAAGGCACAGAAGTATGACGGTGCATGTATGTGTTTGGGAAATAGTAAGAAGTTAGGTGGCTGGTGCTGTTCTTGGTGATATGGCATAAATCTGGAAAGGATGTGGTATCAGACAGTAAGTGTTTTGGAAAACAAAGACTAAGGAGGATGAACTTTCTTTTGTAGGCAATACAAAGGCAAAAGTGGGTTTAAGGAGGAAAAACACATGAGCAGATGTATTAATATGTGGCAAAATTGATGATAAAACAGAAATTCCACACTTTTCTCTTTCTTCTTTTCCTTCAGTTAATTTTTATTTCTAGCACTGATGAAATTGAGAAGATGGAGAGAGGGAACCTGGGAGAGAAGAGAGCATACTGATTTAAAAACACAGGAGTTACAGTCAGACATGTGTGAAGTTTAAATTTTTGGCTCTGTGTGAATTTTCTTAACTCAATTTCCAACACTGTTTTCCCAGCTAGAGATGTTAGGATGAGGATAGAGTAACAGCCTCTAACCTTCTTTGGAGGATTGCAAATGGTTAACTTAAACAATGTGTGCAGATTGCCAAGCACAGAGTTTATATAAAATAAGTGTACAAAAAATGTTAGCTGCCTCGTGTAGTCCATGTGCAGGTCGCCTCCATGGGCTGCTTCTGGGAGGAAAGCAAAGACAGGAAGTTGCAGTTGAAAATGGAGGGAACTGCTCCCGCTCCAAAGAGAACAAATTGATACTCACTGATGCTTCCTCCTCTCTGACACCAATTCAGTAACATTCCTTTTGCTTTCCTCCTACTTTAAATTGGCTGTCTAAAATAAGGATCGTCTTCAAGCAAAATTGTGGTATGTAGACCTCACCAAGGGTCTCTGCTCATAACTTCCTGGTCCCTGAGGCCATCATGAGCGATTCTGACCCACGTGAGACACCCCCAGCTGCAAAGCTGTTCTCCTCCTGCCCCTGACTCCTGGGCAGTTGTTCCTCTGGCCTAATCTTTTCTGTCTGTATCCTGTTTCCTCCAGTTCTACAGAGGTGACCAAATGCAAACCGACCAATTCATTCACAGTGAAGGGGACAGTGGATGAATGTGAGCTCCCTCTCACATCCCAATAAAGTCTTGTTGAGTCTCTACATAAGGAAATGAATGTTCTTGGGTTTTCAGACTCCAGAGGGAGGCGTGAAGGAAACACAAGGAGCTGAAGGTTTCCAGAAGAGACCGTGGAGCTCAGCGCTCAGAGTACCTCTGCCTGTATTTGTTTTAACTTGGGAACTGCAAGATTTCCTTCAGTTCTGAAGATGGGGAAAAGAAGTTTGAAAACCAGCCAACCGATTCAGACATTTTACACAAAAGGAAACTGAAGACCAGAGAGGTTACATGGCTTGAGCAAGGCAACTCAGCAGCAGAATCAGGACCAGAACCCAGGTCCAGCTGACACCCAGCCCACAGCTCTTGCAGCCAAACACCTCTCCAGGGAAATGGCTGTGCCCGTGGCTCAGACTGTGGCAGGGCTGCAGAGCCCCTGGTTAGTTGACACCATTGCCAATTAGCTAGGGCCTCCCCTGACCTGTTCTGACCCACCAGTTGGGTTAGGACTGCAACTATGACCGTGTCCAAGGGCCCAGGGATACCTTGAAAGCTCAGACCTGCTGTGCCTGCTGCCGAGACCCTTGGCATTTTTGCCTTACTGTGCACATAGCCATTTAACCTGGGCAGACTTTATTTGGGAAACTCCGTTTCTGAAAATGACTGCATTAAGAGAACTGAAAAGAATGTTGCATTTTCTAAAGAGGGCAGGCGGAGACGATCTGTGACTCTGATGGAGTGAATGAATGAACGAACAGTGTTGAGTGCCTGTTTGTGCCAGTGGCTCTCCAACGTGCTTCCAGAGTTCTGAGTAAAATCTCATCTGTTCCCTGTGACCCAAACCTCCTGCCAAGTCTAGTCTTATTCCCACTTCACATGTGAGGACGCTGGAGATCTGAGGGTTAAAGTGACTCGCCCAGGGTTACATCAGATGTGGATTTTGCCCAACCCCCAACTGCATCTGAGTGCCCCGTTACCCAACAGCTGCCATTCCAGGTGGTGTTTTGGCTGATGGATAAGGTCACTCATACAGACTCTTTCTTGCCAAATATTGTATGTGCACTGCAATGACTTACTGAAAAAATGTTTCCAATAATACTGTTCCACTAAATATCTAGTAGCAATGGTGGAAGGGCTTCTTCCCTGTTGTTGGGGAAACTCCTCCCTTTTGATCCACATTTTTCCTTAAATTACCTGGGGTATTCAGTGGGGTGGCTCCTGCTCCTGCAGCTGTCTGGTTACCTGACTGTGACCATGGTACTTGAACACTGATCTGGAGTAACTCTCTCTGCTTCACCTATAGAAAGAGAGTGAATTGGGTTCTCTCTCTCTCTTTCCTCCCACATATGTATGTGTAAAAAACATTTGTGATCTCCATTAGTGCTGTTCAACTATTTCCAGCTCTCTGCCTCTGGTACATCTGCCTTCTTGTCCCCTGTGAGTACGTGGATCATAAGACTGGTTCTGGCCAATGAGTTTGATGATAGGTGATATGTGTCACTTCTGGGCTGAGCTTTTCATAATTGCTGGCAGAAAAACTGCAGACTACACTTCTCCTCTGCATGTAAGCAACAAAATCTGAGGAGGGGCTGCTCCATCACCTGGACCCCTGAATGACTTCGATGGGCAGACGACCACCGGCACCCCACACATCTGCAGCGGACATCAGCATCGACAAGAGGTGCTCAGTTGTTTTAAGCCCTTGAGAATGTGGGGCTGTGTGTCAATGCTGTATAAGCAGCCTCGCCTGGCAGATACACATTTACAGATCCAAATACTTTTTGTGCAAATCCCATTTCTTTCTCCAAATAAACCTAGGAGGTAGGTACTATTGCCATGCCCATTTTACAGATGAAAAAGCCCCAGCTGAGAGAAGTTAATTAAGTTGTCTAAGATCACTGCAGATGGCTGAGACAGTTTTCCATTCCATATCTCTGTAGCTCCAACTCCTGGTCTTAATCAACACACCCGCTCTGTTCTCTCTGCTTAGGTGCTTTCTAAGCCAGGAAGCAAATAACATTTGTTACACATTTTCCCAAAACATGTTTTTGCTTCATCATGTCACTTACTCTCACTCAACTTTATTACTGTATTCAAAAGCCACGTTAAAGAAGGAAAATTTGGTTTTTAACCAACTATTATAGCATCATAAATATAAAATATAAAATGTCATCAATGGTTGACATTCTATCACTTTCTAGAAAATGTGATCTGGCAAATATAAATCCTTCTCACAGCAAGTAGCCCTTAGCTAAGAAAATTACTTTTATTAACCAAAAAATTATTCTTAGAATTGATGGCTGTGTAGATGACCTTTGGCTTACTGTAATATAGCAATGTGTCTACCACAGTAAAAATGCCAGAGCAAGACAGGTCCCACAAAAGGCAATAAAGGAACAACATTCCAAAGACAAATACACTTGAGACACATATGACAGCCATGGGAAGGGGAGAGTAATCAGTTATAAGAAATGACAGTGTTTTGGCAGCCTCAGTTACTTTAACTGACAGGACAAATAAAACTAATGTAAATTTTTTTTTTTTTAAAAAAGAGCGAGTCATAAGAGCTACAGATATAAATCAAAGTTAGTTTTGGCCTTTGATTTACATCTGTTGGGCATCCCTCTTTTTTCAGGGCACTGAGGTTGGTGTTTCCCTGTTACAGACATTAAAATGTTTCTAGTTCTTCTACTAATTTTTCCTTGGTTATCTGATTTAATCTGGGTTTTATTCTGCTGTTAATCCTCTCAGACTTACTTTGCCCTTCAGATATTCTCTTTAAGGCATGTCCTCATCTGAGCATGTTTATGGCTAAGTGCAAATCCTCTGTGAATTTAGGGGAGAATATAAAGGACGATCCATTAAAATAGTCATTGTTTTTTCAAATGCAACCGGCTCTAAAAAGATTGTGAGATATTGTATTGTTTTTGGACTTTCTCAGTTTGGACTTTCTCAGTTTGGACCCCAAAATATTAATATGACTTACTTTAAAATTCCTCAGATACTCTCATGGAGGCAGAAATGAAAGTCCCTCTTAAGTAATGTTCACATTTATTCTGTGAATAAAAATAAGAATTTCAAATAAAAAGTCTTGAAAACTTTAGGGAAATCTTTCCTTTGATTTGTTTCTTGGGAAGCTTATCTATTAAAATGCGTCAAATGCTATAAATACCCTCCTCTTGATTATAATTCTTCACCTAGCATATCACTACTAGAATTGGGACGAACAAGTTCCACTTTATTTGTTGGTCAAAGACAAGGGTATTGGGATTCTTGCTAAAGAACAGGACATAAATCCAGGGCTTTTGAAGTCTTTAGTGGCTTAATGTTAAAACTTTGCTTCCTCAAGATGAAAGTTCAAACACAATTTAGGTCAAAGGTTAAAGAAGTCTGCCACTTCAGTGGGCAGATAAGGGTTTTGAAGGTTTCAGCTGAGGCCTGGTGACTGGGCCAGGCAGGGAAGAGGGAGGATAAAGGAGACCCGGCTCCACCCTCAGTTATCTGCCTCCTGTTTCCTTAAGAACTAATGTTCATTAAACTCCTCTGATTTAATAAAGAAAAAAAAATTCACAACCAAAAAAGTAAATCCTACCTTTGTTCTGGCAAATTAGGTCAGCATCCTCTGTTCCTGCTGTCAGTTTTCTGCAGCTTAGGTTTCACAATGAGTCACAGGTACGTATGAAATTGCTTGATTTAACTTTTCCTTTTTCCCCATCTGAGGACTCCAGGGTCTCTTAGTCAGACAATGATTGAGTTGGCGGGTGTTTCTCTTGGAAGATGTCTAAGTGCAGACAGCGGATCTGAGGTCTACCTCTGCACAAGCTTGATTTGGAATTGAAGCATCCCAAACATACAAGCTGCGTGCAGAGATGCCACGGCCACATAAAAGCAGCTTAGCAGCATGGAAACTTTATTTTTTTACAACCCGTTTTAATGGGATTGGATCCAGTGGTATAAATTTCACTAAGCCTGCCTTTTAAAGAAAGATATTCATTCACATTTTCCCTAGACTTCTGGTTCTCTTCCCAAACTCATCAATATTGCCGTTTAGCACTCTGTGTTAATTGTAAAGCCAAGATAAGGATTTTCTTATATAAGCTGTAAGACAATGGCAACCTTTGGATATAGTTCTGAGGCATCAAGGAAGACTACAGACACAGACTATAGATGTCAGTGCAAACACAGAAAGTAAATCTTTCCCCTGCACAGCAGATGAGGTGGCATTCATTATTTCCTCCACGTGCGTGGCCTCAGGGATGGAGACAAGGAGTCCCAGGGCAAGATTTTTATAAGGGAGGACTCAATAATCAGTACAAAAGATGATTTCACGTGCGTGGTCCCATAGCTACAGCCAGGGAATAAGAGTTAGGAATTCTTGGGTCTTGTGATTACATCTATTGCCAACTCACTCTACACTTGAGTCTTGGTTATTCTCCTCTGTTTCATGAGCATAAATGAGTACGACTCAGTCATCAGGCCAGTGTAAGAAACCTATGGGAGGGGCTATATTTCCCCTCTATATTAGCCACCCTCTTAGAAATGCCTTTATGTATTCCTTCCCCTGTTCGCATTGGTAGAAAACAGTGCACGGTGTGGCGGGGCATGGAGCTGGCACCCTGAAGTGAGCAAATATTCTTCAAGTCACACAGCTGTGACCCCAGTTTCCCACTTCTCTTCTTATGTGTCCCCAAAGCTTTCTTGAGCTGTGTTAGAAAGATGCATTGCCATTGGTTAGAAGTGCTTCTGTCTTAAAACAAAAATTCTTACCTCAAACCACAGATAAGTCTATTGGAGAGGAAATTAAAGAATGGGGGCCTGAAGGCTAGCGTTGGTTTTAATTACATACACTTACACAGCACTCTTCACACCTGGACTAGAGCAGGGCTTCACAAGCACATGAAACACCTGGACATGTTGCTGAATTGCAGATTCTGATTCAGGAGGCCTGGGTGGCTCTGAGATTCAGCATTTCTAGCAAAGTCCCGGATAATGTGATGTTGCAGGACTCTGGCCCACACTTGAGTAGCAAAGAAATAGAATATACCATCTAATTGCCCTCTTCCTTTTCCCAAAGCAGAGAAGTGGTATAATTTGTGCTTAAGAGTGAGGATCCTAGAGCTGGACTTCCTATGTTCAAATCTTGGCACCAGCAAGTGCCAAGATTTGAAAATAAGCAATAATTACTTAATGTCATTAAGCCTCAGTTTTTTTCTTCTGGAAAATGGGCTGATATGAGTATTAACCAAGATGATATCTTGGAAATCCAGATAAGAACTGATGAGGGCCTAAAATAAGTGTCTGGTAATAGGGGTTGAGAGAAGAGTTCATGTTCCAGAGACACGAAAGAAGTCTGACTGATAGGGCTGAGCAAGTGTGGGAAGCGAGTATGGGAAGGAGTCAAGGGTGATTCCCAGATTTCTGGAGTGAATGGCCAGGCATTCATTCTAGCCACTGAATACACAAGAAGGTGCATGTGGTGAGTGGGGGAGAGGGTGGCATTGGGGAGAAATGATGAATACAGTGTTGGACACATTGATTTGGGGATCTGGATTGGAGACACAGGTTTGAGAGAGCTCACCATGGAAAACCAAAGGCGGTGACAAGAAAGAAGAAGCTGGGACAGAACTCCAGCTAACACATGTTCAGGGAGTGAGTGGCAGAAGAAGACTGACAAAAGAGACTGAGAAAGAAGTATTGGAAAAATAGGCAGAAAACCTGCAAAATGTGATACCATTTCAGCGGGGAGGTTGGAAAATGGTAACACTGGCAAAGAAAGGGTGAGTAGACAAGGAAGCACATTTAGAAGAGAACAGAGTAAATTCCATATTGAATGCACTGCTTTTTTGTTGTTTTTTGGGGTTTCTTTTTTTTGAGACAGGGTCTCGCTCTGTTGCCCAGGCTGGAGTGCAGTCGCATGATCTCGGCTCACTGCAACCTCTGCCTCCTGGGTTCAAGCGATCCTTGTGCCTCTGCCTCCAGAGTAGCTGGGACTACAGGCGTGCACCACGATGCCCGGCTAATTTCAGATACACTAGTTTTGAGATGCGAGAAAACTAAATAAACTAAGTAGGGATTTTGAAATACGCTGTGGATACATCAGTAGAACTAGGCAAAGACCTCTGACAGTTAGCAACATTTAGATGCAATCATAAAAGACCAGAGAAGTGAGGGGGCAGCAACCAGAAAACGTCTGGGGAAGAGAGGCCAGAAAATACACAGAAAAGATACTCACAGAGGGTGGTCAGTGGTGGGTATGGCAGCTAGAAGAAAAAGGAGGACTTGTGTGTCACAGGCAATTTTTGTTTTTAAAATGTGACAATTCGAAAAAACTAAAAAAACCTTCCTCCAAGAAAAGAATCAAAAATCTTAAAAATTGTTTAATATAACATTATGAGTACTATAGATTGAAAACATCAGTGAAAATTTGGAGGAAACTTAAATCTGCATCTGTATAACAACCACTCCACTAACTAAAAAGTTCAATAAAGCAAATCTTGTAAGCAAAATAGCAAATAATTGGCCTGGATACTTTTTGATAGAATAGGCCAAACTGCTAGATGAGTTTCAGGCACGTGTGCCTGAGACCTCAGTTATGTTCCTTTTAGTATAGAATTTTTGGGTTTTCTTTTCTACATCAGCTATGATGATCCACCTTAGAAAACAGCCTCAATTGTTCTTCTAATTTTTCTTGCTCTTGTAGTGACCAGAAAATCAGCATCAGTCCCTAGATCTGGAAATATTGAACTAAAAATTCTGTGATATAATTAAGAACATAGCCTGGGCTGATGGCAAAATGAACAGCAAGACTTGGGAATCTGACCTTGTCCTGTTCATCTTGACATCCCAGCCCTTTGAGAACCCGGAACCCAACCCACAGAGGCACTTCACAAATGTTTGTTGAACAAAAGGCAACATAAAATATTGCATTTAACAAGCTCTGCTCAAATCCCACTACTTCAGAGGGCTTTTCCTGATGAATCCCACTCTCGGAAGCCACTTTGTACTCATGGATTTCTATATAAGCTTTTAATCTTGCCATCTTGCAATTATTATTATTCATGTGTTGTTTTTAATTATTCTCCTATTAATTTGTGTGTGTGTATGTGTGTGTGCTTGCACATGTACGCGGGCTTTACTTCCTCAATTCACTACAAGTCCTGTAAGTCAGATCCCTTATTTTCCTCTGCTTTGAATTACCCAAAGTGCCTTATGCAAGTCTGGGGACAGTGGTTACTTGTAGTTGAAATATCTCTCCTCCACTTAGACCGCACTGTTAAATATTTCAGTCATTGCCAATGGTTCTTTTGTCCCTAGTATGCATGCCATTCTACTTCACAGAAAAATAAAAGGTTTGACATATTTGAGTGCTAAGATTTCATAATAGAATGAATTTCTAAAAGAGCAAATACTTAATTCTTCTTTATAAGTCTGGTAGACACTTTATTTACTTATTCATTTATTTTTTGCCAGAAAACCTCCATGTATAACTAAAGGCTAATGCCCGGTAGGTGATATGAGACATTCATGTGGGGGTTCTTACACATCAGACACACCCTGCACTTTAATTCTGTAGATCACAGGTGAAACCACGCTCCCTGGCTTCACAAAAAAACAAAGATATTATGGGAAAGAGCCAAAGCAACAATCATATAAACTAATGAATTATTTATGGTTTGCTTAAAAATAGACATTTCCCTGGTAAGGATTCATTTAAGAAAAATCTTCTTTGGAAGCAGAAAGTTTTCCAAGTCGGAGAAGAATAAATCAGTTCTACTAGACGCAAGAATATTTTAAAAGGCCAGGTGCTGCTGGTTCACACTTAGGGAAGTGCAAACACCAAAAGGCAGTATCTGTTTTTATTTTGATAAACATAATTACCATCTTCATGTAATTAATACCACTAAAATGTATGCCCTCTATCAGCTTAACATAATATTCATTTATTCATTCATTCAACAAATATTTATTGGGTTCCTAGTACATGTCAGGTACTGATCTAAGTGCTGAGGACACAAGAGAAGAGGAAACAAAATCCCTGTCTCTAGCTACCACATTCTGGTTAAATAAAATAATATTAGCACAGTGGGATTATATATGTAAACTATAAGAAATTACTAAAGGGTTAAATTTTTTTGAAAATTGCTGAAGATTTAAAATTTAAAACAACACTGTAGGAAATTGAGGACATAATTTTCATTTTATATAAAAATTTTAAATCATTTTTGCTGCAGTATTTTAAGCCCACCAAATAATAACCACCTAAAAGAACTGCTACCTAATTCTTACACAAAAGGCATGTTGAGCCTCTTGGGAAATGCACATTTTCCTAATTTTTAGGCTTTTATAACAGATTACTTGGGGTCTTCTAGAATATACAGCATGATCACATATCAGGTTAATTAAAATAGAATCCTTTCTGAGATTAATAATAAATAATTTACTTACAAAACTTTAATGACATATCAAAAATGAATTTCAGTCCAGGCACACTAGCTTTATTTATATCTGTGAAGCTGCTAGGATGAACAAAGGCTTCTGGTACAAAGCACTTAACTCTAGCTCAACACAGATAGCTGGGTTTTGAAAAGAAGACCATTTGACTGATGGATTCTTTTGGCCTACATGTTGACCTTATTGTTGTGTTTCCCAAAGCTGTTCATGTTGCGGTTATTGTAATAAAGCTCAGCTATTGAAAATCTGAAGCCACGCATCATAGCATATGCTTATTGTATGACATGTTTATTATTTTTCTTTCTGTTGGTTTTATGGTACATTCCCACAGTGGCGCATGAATAACTATTATATATTTGTTTTCCAGGTGTGTGGATTGGCTCAAAGGTAGATAACCTTTG